CAGGTGTTATTGGTAAGTCCATAGTGTAAATAAGGTAGTGGACGGAGTACATTCCCCTGACGTACACTACCAGCTTTTATCGCAGATAGATTTGAGTACTAGTTTTCGTGTTTTTTATAAAAAGACATCGTGATAATATGTTTCTAGGATAATATGTTTCTAGCTTACTCAGAATATATTTGTGCCAGACTCTGTCGAAAGCTTATGCGGCATCGAAGAATACAATAGAAAACACTTTTTTACCTTCAATAGCTCTTCCAATTTCAGCGACAATGTGGTATACTTGATCTACAGTCGAATGCTTACATATATAGTCACTAATCTAATCTATAATCTCTAAAGTTTTTATAAGCTTAACAATAAAAAAAATATCGAGAATGCCAAAAAAAAAAAAGAAAAATTTCATAGTGATTGCTACGAGACTTATCGAAAAGGAAACTTGAATACTGAAGAGTTTAATCAATATTATTATAATTAAAGATTTAGGTAAACAATATCTCCAGATTATTTGTTCAATATAACAGTTTTTGTTATTTTCACAGATTTATTACTACACACACATAAATTTTAATGAATTTGGGAAACAATTTAGGATAAAGGTATGAAGAAAGCTTGACAAACATAATGGTTAAATATTTATAAAATTATTGGTTCCCTTACTGGGCTCCTATTAGCTACAACTTTCTAAGATTAGACTAAATAATACCGACAAATACAGTTTCTATAATTATGGATTTTATCTGCTCATGCCCTGCTGTTGTCAACATTGAGTGTAACACCTTTATTTGACTCTCATTGAATCATATAAGGATAGGATTAAGAACACTAAGTAGTCTTTCTTTATGTCGATAAGTGGATAACTTTACTTCATCTTAACAGATAGAGAGAGATGAGCACTGGCAGACAGACTAAACTCATGATGCCGAACCCGTTAGCCAGGGAAGCGATAAAAGTGCTTAGCTATCCGCGGAGCACGCTAAACTAGCTGACCTCACTAATTACTGGACAAGGAAACTTCAAGTATTCCCTCGAAAAAATAGCACTTGCTGACGCGAAGACACTTGCAGACTATGTCTAGAAGAAAAGGAGACAGCGGTGCATATATTGTGTCAATGTCTAGCACTAGCAAGCAGGATGATGACTGTCTTGGGACACCATTGGATTGATGATGAATTGGCAGGCAACATCAAACCAAATGAGCTGTTTGCAGTAACAAGAGATGTAGTTATGCGAATGGAAGCCACGCTAGTTTTAACTTAATAACGAAATCCATGGTCTACTTAAATTATAAGCAAAAAAATATCTACGCAGTATGAGTAATTTATTATTTTAGTATTACTATTTTTTATTTTAGTTCAAAAATAAATATACAACTTAAGTATACCTAACAAAATCTTTTTCACATATACAAATAAGTCAAATCAAGATAAAACTTTACTGATACTTTGCTTCATTTACAGTAAGCGGAACGAATTCACATCTATAACCCTAAGGATAATGAATGAGGATTAGTAAAATTGATTAAGAAATCGTCAAGGCTAATAAAATTTATTGTTGAAATGAGGTGTTGATTGACATTCAACGTTGTTGTTTAGTGCAATACAATAGAACAAAAAATGTACAAAAAAAAAAAAATTTTAAAATATTGATGTATAGTTTATAGCCAACGTGGAACCATCAGAATCGGAATCGGCAACAAAACCAGCTGGTTTAAGAATTTACAACAAATGAGACAATTTCGTTCTATTAAGAAAATTCTAATCGACATTTATGCATTTTGTTGTAGAGTCAAAACCAATGTAACGACAAAATGCACTATATTGTTAGGATGCATTTCTGTTGCTCACAGAATGGTTTCAACTGCAACGAACTGAACGCTGGTCGTACAAGGATTAGTTGACGGAAAGTGCAGAGGACCTCCCGTTGACCGCACGCTGTGAGGGCTCGTGTTGGAATAGTTTCTTTATGCGATGCCTATTTGAAAATCGCCTTGCTCGAGCACAAATGTCTAATTCCAGTTATTCGAACGAAACCTATTTTCATTGTGGCACTCAGCCAACGCGTTTTGAATAGAAATAAGATATCCTGCTGGCGCTTTGAGCTGGTCGAACGCGTTTCATGCATAGTCTATATTCTGTACCCTTTTTTTTTTTGCTGCTTCATATCTTTTGTGAAGCCTTCGATTTAAATCCGATTAAATCTTTTTAATTATGATTTATTGCCAAAGTATTTTGGTTAAAGATTTTTTTTTTATTTGAGAAAACTTAAACAAGTAACGATTTTTGTTTACACAAAACAAAAAAGACAAATCGCTTAGCAAAAAAAAAATAATTATTTTAAAAAAATAATAGTTATCACATATTTCAAGTAGTTGCAAATACTTTTAGATATTGTCAAATATTTATCAAAAGTAGTCTTTGCAAATATTTCCCAGTTGGTGAACATTAAACTTGCATCCTTTAAGTTCCAAGCACAGAGTCATCTACTAGATGATCGAGCAAAAGTTGCATTTGATTGACGTTGATCTTACTTGAAGTTCTCATAATTGTTTTTTCCTGTTTGTAAACAAAAATCCAGAACAGAGACCTGGCCGTTATCTCTTGCATCGATGAATAAGCTCTAGACCTTTAAAATGTGGTACTACCGACGCATGCTGAAAATAAGCTGAACAGAAAGAACAATATAGAGTCATCATAGAGACAGAAATATTAGGGACATTAGGGATACAATTTGAGACATCCGTAAAAGTAAGGACTACTAAAATTAATTATTGAAGGTAGTATTGAAGGACCCTAGAAGACGAAAGATATCATGGCTGAAGAATTTACGTTAATAGTTCAATTAAAGTAGAAGATCACTTTTTCGACAGATTGTAGATAAAGTCAAAGTCGCAATCATTTTAGCCAGTGTTCGAAACGGATAAGGCTAGGTGCCTTGAACAAAAATCCACTTGTTGTGCTATTTGAAAAACAAACGCATAAATGACGGCTACATAAATGTTAAATGTTTACAGATGTTATCTATTAACTAAATTGCTATATTTGAAAATATAATATGGAGATCAGTACTTACAGTGTTCAAATTATGGAATATAAATTTAATATTTTAACAGAGAACTCACCTGAAAATACAAGAAAAGTAAGAAATTTATTAATTTTTAAAATAAATTAAGAGTAACTCACTTAAATTAAATAAGAAAATATATACAGACTATAATTATATAAGGACTATAAACGAATTCAAAAGAAATGCGATTATTTCCTAAGACCACTGATTATGAGTACTCGGCAATACTCGAAATAGCGTTGTATGGTATTAACTAAAATTTTAGTGCTTGTTTTTTCTTTGCTTTTCGAATCACTCTAAAATTAAAAAAAAAAATAAAAATATATATATATAGCTTCCAGCTTCATTTCAGCTAATTAACTTTAAAAAAAAATTTTTCCTAATGTTTTGGGCGTTTGATATTGTAAATGACTTTAAATTTATTCAGTAACCACAGTATGACACAAGTAATTTGTTTAATGTTAAATACTGGACTCCAGTATATCGTTCATAATTCAGTTAAGATGTTTTACTGTTCAGCTTCTTTAACTTTCCAACTACAATCCATGAATTTTATGGAAAATAGTGTAGATCATCTGAAGTATAAAATGATGTCCACAGAAGCAACTTATCTAAGATTTTAAAAGTAAACATTTTTCCTATATAGGAGAAAATCCTTCAAAATCATATTCTTATTAAAACACGTTTTACATTTAATCTAATCAATTTCAAATAAAATATATTTATTCTTTATATTAAACACAAAAAGAATTACTCCATATGACATGTATAATATCTCAGGCTGGATTGATGTAAACAATTGTTTAAGCGTCTTGAGCTTTTCCAAAATACGCGAACAGTTAATATATATTAAATATATCTATTTTATAAAGGTTAACACTTTAGTACAGTAATTTCTTATTTATATAGATGTTTTGAGAAAAGTTTTGTTAGGATTGCCATAATAGCTTTATTATAGCATTAAAATATTTTACAACAAAATGATTAATTTTGTTACGCATTTTTAAATAATGCTTGAGTAATAGAATAGTTAGACTATACAATTCGAATTTATTATAATAATTTATAAAAAAGATGTCACATAAAAGCCTATTCTTTGATTCGTAATTGAAAACATTGATGATTTAGTATCTTAATGAATGAACTTCTAGCAAAACTTTTGAGGTGGAGTTTCGTCAGCTACCGCAAAATGATAAGATTTGTTTTACTTTGAATATATTTAATAAACTTAGTTGGAATAAAGGTTGAGAAGGCAAATTAAATCTACCAAAAAATCTACCAGTTTAAATATGTATTTCTAAACTATTGGTTCTCCATCTATGATGATAAGAATGTGTTGTCATCTTATGATCATGGATTAGCATCAAAAAGTGCTTGCCCTGAACACAAAGCAAGCTTTCTTTGAAGTAAAGGTAGGTAAGATCAACATTAGTATATCTTAAAAATGTTACTATATATAATATCGCAGTTTTTTTTAAGGTTGATAACAACCGTGAACAATTACAAGCAAGGATGACAGCAAGTGTTCATTATAAATGGTTTTATTCTTTATACGAGAATTATATCTTATACCTCTTATCGGCACTTGGGGGTTATCGGCAATTGTGGCTTATCGATACCTGTTGTGTTGTTTATGATCTCACCCATACTATGTCTAATTATGACTCACTTAAGAAATAAGCCAATTTAACTGAAGAAACAATAATAAACAGCGGTAAATTGATTAATTCAAACTTTATAATATATAACATAAGTCATACTGCCTACCAGATACCAGAGACTAAACGCGGCCTGATTTTATTTCTTTGTTATCAAAGTAATGTGAGATTTATTACAATTTTATAAAGTATATTTATTTTTTGGTCATTTTAATTAAGTTTTAATTTAAATAGATTTTTTGATTTATACAAAAATGTTTTGTAAACATTATTTTACTATTTATAATAAAAGAAAGTGAAATTAAAAGAACTCTTAACAAATGGGTTCTTTAGGCAAAATATCGCCAGCCAAACCAAGAATTATAGCAATCAATTCTGGCATTGAAATATTTTTCAAAAGACTATTCAAAGGTGGTTGTATTAAGTTCTCCAGAGCAGCGCTCATAGCCTCTGCGTTGTCTTCTTCAAACATAACTTTAAGAAATTCTTCAATCCAAGAATCAAAAATTTTCGAATAAAATGCACTATTCATAAAACCAGTAGATTTTGACTTAGCACCACCCAACTCCAAGTTGAACTTGAAAGCCCAGGCATGTAGGCCACCGTTCAATGAGGGTCGCAACTTAAAACTGCCATATGCACGAAGATTTTGGAATTCCAACTGCATGTTACCATCGCCATAGAAATTCAAAGGTGGACCAAACATACTTGTTAAAGCATTCATTTTGTAAGCACTTTTCATCAAAATACTTCCGAAATTGAAATCGAATGTCAATTTTTGAAACACATTATTCCAACTCAGCACCACAACATCAAATTCATCTAAGCCAGTCACAGTAAGGTCTGTTAAGTTGCCTCGTACACTAGAACCAAAACGGAGTAAATTATTAAACATTTTCTGCTTCGAACGATTTTGCATTTTGCTGTCGACATACTTACTTCCAGTCTCCTTGATTAATAGCAAATTCCTTAAATTCTGCTTGATAAGGTGCTAAAGGTGGTATACCAGCGTCAGCATAACCACAACGCATTTGCAATCTAAGAAATTCGATAAACTCACGTAATTCATCGTCGAAAAGCGCACGACTACTCGAGCGTTTGGTTATGGCCACAGCATCTGTCGTTTGCCAAGTCAAATTTTGCAAAATGCATACAAAGAGAAAAAATACTAATATTTGACGCATTTTTATAGTAGAAAAAAATTGCAACTATTTTCAAAAATTTAGTCAGTTTATGTTGAGGCATTTGTTTGTTCAACATTTCGAATAAAATTATAATCGTTTTCTGATAGCGTAATATTGCGATTAGATTTGATTTAATAGTTAATCTCTATTTTACTGCAAAAAAATTGAATTGCGCTGAAAAGTATGCTACATATATTGTAGCGATGTGATTAAGGCATTTCTATAAGTTACGAAAGATACAAAATTCTGATAAGAAATTGAAACTATGAATTTTCGTCAGTCAAACTGCACTATTCAATACCCTGCACACATATATATACTAATTGATATATATATATACTAATATATATATTAATGTATATATATAATGATAATAGTGAATTTAATAATTGTTCGAATAATATATAAATAAGTATATGCTTTTGTATTCATAGAAATATTTATATATATATATATATATATATATATTATTACAATTATTAAATTCATTATTACCATTATCATTATTATCATTCATTATAATTCTGAATGCAAATTATATTTAAATATATATTTAATTTAATTTAAATATTAAATTTAGTTATATCGAATTTAAATATGTAAGTATATATATATAAGACCATATTTCTATGAATGCATATGCAAATACTTATTTATATATAATGTGAACAATTATTATATGCAGAATAAAAGACAATATTTTTTATTATAATGCATGGGAAATTTACACTGCGACTTAGAAATCTATTTTACCGCCCTTCATGGAATTATGTAGTTCCAAGTTCCAAGTTGAAATGCGTCTATTAATTATAATAGGCGTATTCGGTGGCTCGCAAGTACGGCAAAAAACAGCAAGTTGTTGGCCTATGCAGGCCTATACTGGCCGCAATGTACGCAAAACAACAACACTATTTTCTCTACCTCGGTCAGTAAAAAAAAAAATGTTACCAACGCAATAAGCGAACTATTGTGAACCTTCATTGAAAATTCCAACGAATAGTGCAATCAAATGCCAAAAATTGAGGAAATAAAAATTCAAACAGAATTCAAAAATTTGAAAAATCTTGAAAAGTAACGAAGAAATAATAAGAATGGAGAAATCGTAAGTATTAAGCACATTGAATTTTTTATTATGCATACATCTTTGATTCGGCACCTGTTACGCTGTCGTAGACGTGTTTTGAGTTATTTTGGCAGCATTTTTTAAACATTTCCTTACATTAATTCAATAAACCTTTCTGACAGCTAAATTTATATGCAAAATTGAATGCCTAAGGACACCTCTATTTCCCAGTACATAACATATCGATACATCTCTATTATTTCACGCATTGCATCGATGTTATTTGGTGTAACAGCTATTTTTTGGACGACCTTCACTAAATTCGTTATGGAGAAAATGATGACCACGCTCGAACTTATTGAACCAACGTTTTACATTCGATGGATTTGGCGTTTCATCAGTAAATATCGAACTAAGTAGATCGATGCATTATTTTCTGATTAATCTGCATCAAAAATTGAAAAAAATTATGACATGAAAATGTCATAAAAATGAAATTATTTAATTTTACTTTTTCTCAGACACGAGTAAATGAATACATAGATAAATAACATTAAGTGCTAGAGCCGTGGATATACTATTTAGAATAATTATCAGAAAAGTGCTACGAAAAAGTTAATAACTTTTAAGTCAATTATAGGCTCTTAATCCTTTTTAAATTTTGGCGTATACTAAAAATTCCTAATATTTAATAATAATAATAATAATAATAATAATAATAATAATAATAATAATAATAATAATAATAATAATAATAATAATAATAATAAAAATAATAATATAATAATAATAATAATATAACAATAATATTAATAATAATATAATAATAATATTAATAATAATATAATAATAATAATATAATAATAATAATAATAATATAATAATAATATAATAATAATAACAATATACTAATAATATAATAATAATATTAAAAAATTCTTGAAATTTTTAAACTCAACGTTAAATGTGATTACTTGAAGGAGATTTAAGAATATTAAAAACTTACTGAAGAATTAAAAAAAAATAAATATATGTGATATATTGATATATGATATAAGGAATGAACTGATTTTGTTGTAAACATAATGTTTCATATAATATATAATTAATTGTAATTATAATTAATTGTTTCTATTAACAGAATATAACCTCATAGGTACAGACTATATATAAAACATATTTATAAGACATACCAGCCTTCCTTTAACCCATACAGATAATAAGTAATAACACTGTGTAGATAACTGGTCATTAGTATATTTTAGTGCGTACAAGAACCTTTTAGGCCATTTCAGTTGTAGGTTAGTTTAGTATTGAAGAGACTTATCACAATAGGGGTTCCCCCAAACAAATTAAAAAGTTAAAAAACGTTAATATAACTGCCGTTCAACATGTTTGCGAAAATACAATACATGGGTAATAAGATAATAAGATTATATACTGATATAATAAATAATAATAATAAAAACTGAGTTAATGCTTATAAACACATTCGGAAAAAATATACTCGTGTGTTCATTTAATGGAAGATAATTGAAGTCAGTTGGAAGAATTATTATAAGAAAAATTTGATAAAAATATGCCTTTTTTCTTTGCAATATTAAAATCGGTCAAGCAGATAGAAATCCATAACTATAATATTAAAAGAACCTCTAGTACAGAAGAGAAAAAATCCTTATGCGCCTAAGTCTAGATAAGTGCTTCAATAGCGTTTTCTGGTTAATTGGGAAAATGTTTCAAAATCGTGTTTCTTTGTAGGTAGGTTTATCGTGTAGTTAGTATTATGTCTTTTTTTAAGGCTTTATTGAATTATATACTAAACACAGATTCTATTCTAATTTTCATTCTTTATTTGAAATTGTTAAAATGAAATTTAAAATAAAAATCTATTTAATTTTTTTTTATTTTTTGATAAATTTAGTTTAAAAAAATTAAACTTACTTCTTAACTTAATTTTGTATTAAGAAAAAAAATAACAAGAAACCATAAAACAAGAAAATAATTTTTCGATTTATATCTAAAATATAACAAAGACTTTATTATTTATGTCAATAATAATAAAGTAATACATAAGTCCAACATTCCTTAAGGAGTTAAAATAATGGATAGTGATGTTGAAGTAAGCTACTTCGCTTTCTCATATAAACTAATTCAGTAGAGATAATCATACTGCTATATATATATATATATATATATATCATATTTTACATCATTATAATATTTCAGTTGCTAATTATGACAACTCACTTTAAGAACTGTCTTGACTCTTGCACAAAAATATAAGGATGTTCATTATCTGGTCACTAACTACATATGATGGTCATAGGCAATTTATTCCACGAAATGTTTTTATTTTTTTTTTTCCATCAACGCATGACAACATACTTTAGCAGAACATTATTTAGGTAAGAGGCGTTATTTGCTTCTTTTAAAAAAATGACATCATGCAAGATTATCTGATGTGATTACGCTGAGGTCGATTAAAACGTATGACCAACCACTTTTCCAGTACTTTATTTTTGTACGATGGATAGCTTACTACTCTCGTTAAACATGATATTCTACAAGACTTTCTTCTATGCATACAATGGAGACTACAAGGTTTATTTATTAAAATAAACATACAAACAAATTTCTCTCGCACAGATGACTACATCGTTTTTGTTGCAAGTTTGTTGTTTGTTTATTTTTTTTATACGTGTATTTTACCTAAACAGTTGAATGCAAAGGCTAAAAATTTGGATATGTTGGTGATATCTATGGTACGATAAGTGAAAATAAATAAAAAATATAAATTTACAAATAAGCTATAAAAACGTTGCAAAAAAGCTTTGCATATATATTTATAATGTTATAAATATATATGCAAGTTGCCGTATACAACTTTATACGGCAGCTTTTACTGTCATATTTCATCTCGTGGTTATAATTTGAGTAAAATTTTATCAGAGTTTTAACACTTTTGAACTAACAAAAATGCCAACTTAAATAAGAAATATTCTATCATCTCACCATATTAAATTCGAAGTATATTCGAAGAAAGTGAAACGTTCTTAATGGTAGTATAAAAATAAAATTTTAAACTTAAAATTTTCGTATTACAGTTTATTATTGCATTTTTTGTTTAAAAAACAACAAACATATAGACAGTTAGTATACTTAAGCCCATGGATCCTCTGGTGGAATGCATTTAGTTACAATTGGATCATCTTCATTTTCACCTTCACTGCTTGAGAAGATCAAGTCTATTAATGTCCAGAAATCATTACCCTTTAACATTTTGTTGACCTTTGGCACTAAATTATCCTCAATAGCGTCAGAAATAGCAGCTTGGTTATCATTGATGCCATGTTCAACGAAGTTTTCAATTTGTTGATTGATCATACGATTGATAGAACCTTCACCCATGAAACCATTAATATTAGAATCGCAAGATTCCAAACTGACTTGTGTTTTTAATGAAGTGATCTTAATGGATCCCCATAAAATTGGAATTTTGTATTTCAAGGTACCAGCAATGCGCAAGTTCTTTAAACCGAACTCCAAAGAACCATCCCCTTCGTATTGTACAGACAAGCCCATTTCACGCATAGCATCCAATAGAGTATCAGTTTCGTATTTAGTAGCAGAAGCTTTAATGTTTGAGAATAAGAAATCGAAAGTAATCTTGCTGGTGATCATGTTCAACTTGAACTTCTTAATTTTGAAATCATCCAAACCATCAATACGGAAACGGAAGACTTTATCGAAAGTGCTGTAAAGTTTGAAATTCAACTAATGTACTTAGTTACGTTGCAAGTTAGTATTATACTTACGTTAACATGCCTTTTTCGTAGGTGAATTCAGCTTCACGTATTTTCAATGGAGCCAATGGTGGGATTCCGTATTGTTCAAATCCGCAAGGCATTTGCTTTTGCAACTTACGGATGAAACGACGAATTTGCCAGGAAACAATGAATTGTGGTGCAGCTAAAACATTATATTTTTTTTTTTTTTTGATGTAAAAAGATTTGAAATGAAATGTGCTTATAGTGTGTACACTTACCAATAATGCCATCTTCTGGATCTGTGATAATTTCAATTTCACTATCACTGTCCAAAACAGAATCGGACAAGGCGTGTTCTGGAAGTTTATGTGGCAAAATAGTGCCGGCATATGCCACAGCGGCAAAGGCCAAAACTAGTATTAAACGCATTTTTATTAATTTAGTGCTTATGAAAATCTGAAGTAACTCTACACAGTGGGTTGCTTCCTTTCAACTGACTTTCACTACTGAGAGCATTTTGGCTTTTATACTTAATTGCTGAAATATTTGCAAACCTACTAGATTTGCCTCCGTTATCACTTAAGAGTGTATTGGCTTTTTCGGTCTTATCAAAAATTTTTAGTTAAGATTAGTTCGGCTTACTGTCAGCAAAACGGTCAATTGGGCTGTTGAATTTTTCTTGCTTATTATTTCTTAAGGGGTTTAGAGGTGGTGGTTATCTCACGTGGTGATATAAATCAAAATCGGATTTCAAATTTTGAATTATTGTTTTGCTATTAAACTATGAAAGCTTAATTGCTTATAATTGATAAACAATATTGACGTTTGTCTTTTGTGTTAAGTACAACAAAAACACAGTTAAGAAAGGGTTGTATATGAAAGCTTAACTTTATGCCAAAAAAAAAATATATATTATTTTTTACACAAAATAAATAATTTTTAACATTTGAGTAATTTTCTTTTATTTTATAAATACTCAACTCGCTTTGAATACTTAATATGATCAAATTACCAGGGTTTTTATATGATGAATAAATTAAGATTGTTTAAAATGAAGAAATATGATATTAAGAATATATTACTCATAACCATAGCGGAATGATGAAAATATATATAAAATTAATTAATGTAGTAATTAATTAAAATAAATTTTATACGAATGACTGTTAGAGAATATGGTTCATATACTTCAAAGGAATGGTATAAATTAATGAAGATAAATATATATTAGAACTATACTAACAAAGTTGTTGGAAAATTAAGTTTTTATACTACAAAAAAATGATATATAAAATAAAGTTATAAAATATAAATATTTCAAAAATTGATTAATTTAAATTTATATTACATTATTATTTATTATTAATGCAAAGTTGTTAAAAATTAAGTTCTTATACTTAAATACAATGGTATAGCTAATATGATTATATGAGATTAATATTTTAGAAATTATTTAGGATATAATGTATTTATCTTAAATAAATAAAAAACTATTTAAAAATATATTTCATATATTTCAGAAAAATTGTATATTTAATGCTGTTGTATAATATTAATATTCAAACATTTAAATAAGATAAATTTATTTTAAATTTATATAAAGTTGCAAGAGATTACTTACATATAAGAATGTTTAATTAATGTGTTTTTTAAATTAATTAAGATATATTTATTTCATTTTATAAAAGAATATAATTTATTATATACTTAAGAAAAAGTACTTAAAAGATTATAGTATTATATGAGATTAATGTTTTATAAATTAATTAAGATATATTCATTTTATTTTATAAAAAATTGTTAAAAAAATATAGTCCATTATATACACTTATAATAATGAAAAAACACTTATAATAATGATTAAAATTATATTATTATTATAATTGTTATTTGATTAATGTTTCATAAATTAATAAATATATATTTATATTATTTTATAAAAAATTGCTAAAAAATGTGGACTATACATACTTAAGAAAAATAATATAGATAACATTATAGTATGACATTAATTTATTGTAAATTAATTAAAATGAATTCATGTTATAACTATAAAATTTATAATAATATATGATTTAAATTTTCTAAGAAATTATATAAAACACAAGAATATATGTAGGTTTAATAGTTTATGAAAAAACATTTTGTAAACAAATTAGACAATTGCTTATATATAAGATATAATTAACTCCTAAAATAAAATACACGTCTTTTTGTTTTATTTTATTTTATTTTAATATAAGACCCAAGTACTGATTCTATATAGTTTAGTTCTGCCGATATGCTATAAATTCTATTTTTCTTATTATAAGAAAAAAATTTTAAAAATAAAATTATTATTATGTTGAGGAAAGTTGAGTCAGTGCACCTGAGCACTTTTACTCTATATTAACTGCGAGATTTCTTACTCAATTATCTTATATATATATTTAAAAAAATTTTTTTGAACTCATTCAAATACATAATTACAAATTCAAGTACATATATATATGTTTTATAAACATCTTTTGGATACTTTTCTTATTAATATATATTTAGAAAATATTCTTTATGGAATCAATTTTACATAAGCATTAAATAAAGCAATTTCAAAATAAAACATTCTTACCCATAATAAATTAAAAATAATTTAAAATGATAAAATTATTATAAAAAAATAATTATTTAATAATATTGATGGCTTCCATTCTACAAATACAGAAGTGGAGGTGCAGCAATAAACAGAACTAATTGGAAGAAGAGAATGGAGAGGTTAAAACTCCATTTTGATTGCAGCGCCATTAAAGGACAGAAGAAAAAATTTAAAATTAAAAAATAATAGATATATTAGTTTATGATTATGAGCAAGAAACATACACATATTAACTTAACTAAAACTTACTTGCTAAACAAAGAATTTATTTATTTTATATTAAGAAAAAAAAATTTAAAAAAAGTTAGTTTCAAAAAATTACTTAAAATATCAATTATATATATAAATATATATTATATATTATAAAAATATATATATATAATTTATATGTTTTATTATTCAAAAGCAAGTGTGAATATATAAATAAACAGAATGTTTTGTGGTCACACACTTTTGACTCGGTAGATGATATTGGTTCATTTTGAATATTCACAGAGACGCAGGGAGTTAAAAGCGACTCCGCCAAAAGAAGACACATCGTGTCAAAAAAACTCTTAACATCACAAAATTCGATTATTTGGATACATAGAAAGCAAGAATATGTGTTATAGTGTCAATAAATTTATATATACAACATTAAATGATTCTTTTGACTACAAAAGTCAAAATACCTACAATATGTCAAAAAAAAACAAAAAATTCTACTACATAAGTTAATGTCATGAATTTTAAAATAAATGATATAAATTTTCACTCAATAAATTTTCAAATTTACAAAACTAACTTCAAATGGAGGCAACTCTATTATCTTCAAAAAGCATTACATCTCCTTCTTTATCCAAATCGGTTGTCAATCAAAACATGTAATGATCCAGTTATATTACGGATCATTAGAACACCTATCTGAACCAAAATGATTTTGACACCTCCAAATCTTTAATGCAGTCAAGTGAATCGAATCAATTGGAACTGCTTAGAATATTTTGGAACTGCTGAACCCAATCAATTCTCAAATATTTAGAATTTATTGTTATGTGTAAATAGCTAATATATTACTAACTTTTTGTTCTGCAACCGTTAAACAACCTAGATCTTTAGTTACACTATTAACATAAGAATTATAACAAATTTATTTAATCCAAAACAATAGCGTTTATTTCAAAAAGTTTGACAAAAGTAATATTAAAAATAAAACATTACAATTTACCAAGGTTCTGGTGGTGGAATGCATTTTTTGTTTGAGTTACCCAATTGACCCAACAAATACCAGATTTTCTTGCCCTTCAATTTAGCATTAACAGTTGGTACAAATATCTCTTCAATCATGGCGCTAATCTCCTTTTGATTACCATTGATGAAAGCGGGAATGGCACTTTCAATTTCATCATTAATCAATTCATTAATGCTTCCATTACCCAAAATACCTCCGATATTAGAATCTACACCACCCAAGGTAACAGTAGCTTCGAATTTATAAATTTTAATTGAACCAAAAATGAAGGGCATTTTATATTTGAATTGACCCTCAATTGATAGATTTCTTAAAGCGAATTCCATAGGACCAGAACCCTCATAGCGCACAGAAAGACCCAATTTCTTCATCATATCAACAAGAGTATCAGTGTTTAAAGTTTGAGATTTTGCCTTCAATTCTGGGAATATAAAATGGAACTTTACTTTCTTATTGAAAGTGTAGCTGACTTTCAATTTCTTAATAATCATATTATCCAAACCATCGAAACGGAAACGTAGGAATTGTAATAAAGAACTGCAAGTGGAAGTTTATAAGTTTTTATATACATCCAATACATATAGTTTTGCTATTCAAATAAATACTCACTCAACAACGGATCTGGCTAAATGAATTTCCAAATCAGGATTGGTGTATGGTGCCAATGGAGGAATGCCATATTCGGGAAAACCGCATGGTAATTGTTCTAACAGATTGTTAACTGCTTTCTTGGCTTGACCGTTCAGAATCAAACCACGATCACTGGCGCTAATAGCTAAAATAGTATGGAAATTTTTGTTATATATTCCAAATCTCTATTTCTAAGCTTCTGCAGCTGAGAAGTCAATTTTTTAGAGTTGATATTTGCTTGAAAACGCGAAAAGTTTTCTTTTGGGAAGAGATATTTTAAAAATAGATAGAACTAAGTTAAGTAAGAAATTTAAAGAAGAAGTCGAGAGTCTAGATTTTATGGAAGAAGAGGAGGAAAATAATTATGGTTAGACGACTACTTTTTATACGTTGTTTGAAATATCTAGAGATATATACATTTGTTGGATATATATTTAAAATATATATATATAATATATATATATATATTGAAATATATTATATATATATATTATATATATTAAAAATTCTGTAAAATAGATGTTATTAATTTAAATTTCTCACGTAAAATATTTTCTTCGAAATGGACAATTAAGAGAACTAACTCGTTAGAACTACTGACCCTAACAGTGTTTGCTTAAGACAGCTTTTACTGGATAAAGTAGATAATATGTTTTGTTATATTTTTATAAAAAAATATAAAAACTCTATTTTTATTATTTTACCATAAAATAAAATAAAAGTATGAGATTAACATGTTACAGAAAGGAAACAAGTATTGCTTTAACTTGACAAATGTTTTCATAACTTACAGAATAGACATGACATCGGATTAATTTTTTAAATTAATATCAAAATTAAATATTAAATATTTAATAATTAAAGTGTAGTTTATATACAATAAGTAATATTACACATAAGTAAACATGTTCATTAAAACATATTATAATGCATTATTTGACTCTAATGAATCCTAGTTTTTTCAGATCCCTGTCTTAAAGTAAGCCAATGATAGTAAGCTTAAGTATACCATCTCAAGGTTTTGCGTGAATTATGTTGCTTATTATTAAAATATCACACAATAACTGTTTATCACAATCACCGATGTCAGTTTGAGATTTGATTAATAGACTGATAGTTCTATTCGGGACAGATTTTACATCCTAAGATTATATATACAGCCATGTTTTATAGTTATATATAGAACTATGATTATGAAAAAAATTATGCTTGAACAGATTTTATAAATCTAAATGTTTTTGGAATAGAAAATTTTCTAGTGACTATGACGGGATTTGTTTAACTTTAAAGAAAAAATTGTTTTTGCAATATTGTATATATATATATATTTCCGACTTTTGAAATATTAGCATCATGGTTGTAATTTTTAATTAACTGAAAAAAACGTGTCAAAATATGATTTTTTAATTATATGCAAGTGTTATTATCTATGGAATAAATATTATTCATAACAAGTATCTGCAGGTGGATGGATATTTCCAAACCACCTTCTTGTTTTGACCACTATATTGTGTGACACCTGCATACTCTTTATTTTTATTAGAAAATAAATTAATATATTTATATAAGCAGAATAATATATTTATATATATATATATATTTTTAAAATATTTCTTATCTAGGGTTGTTGAAATATATTGAATTGAAATAGTCACATAAGATATTTGGTTATAACGAATTATAAGTAAATAATATTGGCTTGTTTTTTTTACAAAACCTTTTGAGTGGCGAAATTGGAAAAGCCGCAAAATTTTCATTTTGCTTTAATTGTAGTCTTATTATCATATATATAAAATCAATTAGATAAGATTTTAATATATATGATAGAACAACAAAGTTTCAAATTTTCAAACTGATATCAGCAGCAACTGATTTGGAAAAGTATTTTATTGTTCTCAGCTGCATCTTATTTATACAAATTATTATTGAGCATCAATACAACACTGTTGGTATTAAACTTTAACACATGATAATTTACAACAACTTACATCTATCTTCCAAGAAGTTCTTCCAGTCGTTCTCAGTGAAACTGTCTACGTCACTAGCAGCCACAAAGGCCAAAACGGCCAATAGCACAATTATAAATTTTTTCATATTTTATTTTACAAATAAGGAATTAAGCTTAAATTATTGACTACAGCAATCAATCAACTTTGCAGCTGTTATTATTTCCAAAATACAGCGGCTTTTATAGCAAAAATTTATGAGCTTACCAATCACCGAACTTCGTAATCAAATACGTTTACAAAATATCTCTTAACAAAGAATTTTCATAAATAGTTCTTTCTACAAAAAAAAAAAAAAAAAACAAAAAAAAAATCTAATCAAATATATAAAATACACGAAATTTATTAAAAACGTACATGATATTTGCAGAAGATATTGGGTACCTCCTTGATAGTCCAACTCACCGTAATTGCAAATTGGCAATCAGTTGAGGTCTCTGAAGAGGGTATACCGTATAAATATAGTAATCCGATTAGTTGTGTTAATAAAAGATAACAATCTTCAGCCACCATTAGTATTATCGCGTTCATCGACGAATTTTTAATAATACATAATGTTTTTCTTTGAAAAAAAAACAAAACTTTTAAATAATTTATTATGTTTTTCTAAAACTCTTCCAATAACTGCATTATAATGAATGCAGCTGCCTAAACTGTACGTACTTTGTCCGAAAAAATCAGGAAATTAAGGAAAACACAAAATATAGTCAAGAAATATCAAATACGTCGTTGTAAAGTCTGTTAAAAATATAACCTCAATAAAAAGTTCAAGTGCAAAGCACTTGTTAACAAAGCTTTAATAGAATTTTTAATTTCGATTACTAGTTTATCTTTATAATCTGTATTTAAGTCCTACATAAGTGCAATATACCCGTAATTTAAAATTTATGAAGTATTTATGACGTGTAAAGCAATAATAGTCGATAAAATCGCAGGTGCCCCTTCAGATTTTAATGAAATACCACCACAAGGTTTTACGTAAAATTTCAACTTTACATGTTTTATAAGATTTGTCATCTTTGATAATAAAAAAAAATCATATAATTCATATGATTTCATATAATTAATTTAATTTATTATAAAATTTTCTTTCACTATAGCCCTCTAGATCAGAGTATCTTGACCGCTAGTAGCAGTATGCGTCATCAGTGCCACCAATCCGTAAAATATTGCACATATTACTGCCTCTAAGAATATTAGGTCTGTTTCACGTAGTAAAACTCGTAGTAAAACTCAAGAAAAACACAAGTAAAATTTACACGAAAATACACAAAAATTTACTGGTGGAACGCACTTGTATATATACAGTGTTACTCAAAGTTACTACGAGTAACTCGTGGAACAGACCTATTATTTTCTTAAACGGATATGCGTACCAGTTTCTGTAAATCACATCAAATATTTTGGCAGTCGGTAATATGTTGTGAATTGAGAGAGAAGGAGTGCTCTAGATAATGTAGTAAGTATACAGTCGATGATTGTTTTTTTGCACTCATATTGTTTGTCTAATTTCTCATATCTATAGTCCATGATTTCTGCGGGAATCGACGTTAGACTTAATTTTTTATTTCCTATGTGTGTATTGTATTCTTTTTGGAGGATTTTTTTGCATAGAATTTGGTTGCTAAAAAATGTAATTTCACAAACTTAACAATATTCATTCTTTTCTAATACTAAACCAAAAATTATTTAGAAAATGCTCCTTAACAATACAGATATCTAGATTGATCATTTTACAACGCTGTCCCAAAAATTTATTACAAAATTTTTCTCAACAAAGTAGAAAACTAATTAACTGTAGATAGGGCACATATTATGAAGATAATAGAGTGTGTGAAGTTTTCAAAGTCAAAATCGTTGACCCAATGTTAACAGGGTTACGATACGTCATTCTAGAAATTCAATAGAAACCATCATAGGCTGAAATGCCATACCCTGCACTTAATAAGAACCATTACCGTGTTTATGTTTGGACTTAATATTTATATCATTGTATAATTGTTGCTCAAAGTCATCGAAGAACCAACGATGGAGAAGTGGAGGTCGAACGTAATATGTGAAATTATTTAAGATATGTATGGAGAAGGTCTATACAGAATAAGAATTAAGAGAATTGTTAAGATTTTATGCTACACTTGAAGCTCTTTATAAAAAAAAAAAGTATCACCACTTATCACTATTGATATGTTCGAATTAGTATTCATATTTTATTACATTACATATTATTTGAAATTAAACTAATTTGATTCGATTTACAAAACTACAATTACTGTTCATTTAAATTTTGATAAGATTTCTCATAAGATAAACTTACATTGCAACATATTTAAAATAAATTAATTTATCAAAAACAAATAAAATAGTGTAAAATTTTTGTAACCTATTTAATGGACAGTTTTATCTAACTGGGTCGAGATTATGGAAAATATAGCTAATTGATATAAAAATCGTAAGTAAATATAATACAACTTCAGTTTGAATCTTACATACTTTGAAGTCAGTTTACAGAAAAAGACAATGAAATTTTTACAAATAATATTTTATTTATTTTGTGTTCTCTGCTCAACATTAGAGGTTGTTAAAGGTCAAGCTTACAACGAAGTTGATTTGGAAGATGACTTTGAAAACACATTAGAATTTCCACAGAAAGCAGGTGAGACTTAGATCGGATACTGATTAATATCCTGCCAATAGTAAATGTATTTTTTTATATAAAAAACAAGCACTCGAAAAAGGAACAAGTGAGTTTTTACTATCTTGGCAACTACGAAGAGCACTACAACGTCTCATAGAACAAATGCCTTGCGGTTGGCCTAGCCACAATATACCACCACTGGCGCCCTTTGTATATGATAACTTCACTTGGCACAGTTCGGATAATTCAGTAAAATTAAAGTAAGAAAAAAAAAATGTGTTATTATTATTTATTCTACTTATTATTCATTATTCCAAACAAAATGTTCCATAAGCGATTACTGAAATTAATATTATATTATAAATAATTTTATTATTAAATAAGATTTATCTTATTAATATAAAACATCTTTAGAATTTTATTTTAGTTAATATCTATTCAAAATTATTTTCAGCTCTTATGTAAACTTTCATCCCATCCGCATAGATGGTCTCAACGATATCGAAATCGATAAATTAAGCGTTAGTTATATTTTTAAAAAAATCTTTTTCACCATAAACTTTCGCAACATCACGGCTAGTGGAAACTTCAATTTAAGCAATTTTCTTAATTTGAAAACCAACTACACTAACTCAGAGTACGAGTTGAAAGGCACTGGTGCACTGGATTTCAGTTTGTTGAACCTACAAGTAGTTGGTGCATTCAGATTTAAATTACCTTGGTTATTTGGAAATGCTAAGATATACAATTTGAAACTATTGTTAACACTGGAAAAAGTCCATTCCAATTTGACTGGAGTAATTAATCAGATGCAAATTGATCAGAAACTTAATAGCTTCATAGAGAATACAGTACTGGATGTCTTACATGATTATGAAGACTTCATAAATATTATGATTTCACACACATTGGAACAGCGATTGAATCAACAATTAAATGGACAAACGTTATGGAATATTATTTGGTCATCATTAGATAATAAGGAGGCAACTTGTGAACCTGAACTACTACAAACCTATGAAGAAATGAGTGAAATAAATTTATAAAAAAGCATAGTATCTACAATAAAAAAATATTTTTACATAATATAACATAGAAATAGAAAATATAATGTAGTATATCCTTACTTCTCTACTTCGTATAAACAATTTTTTAATTAATAATTTTGTTTTTAAAGCGGGCCAATTGGTCAACACAGCTGTCGTTATAATCGTCAATTATCCATTATTATATTTTCGAAGACCATAAAATTCATCCAATTAAAAATTTATGCTATAGTTACATTTTTTCTCAATATTTGAAAATTTATTTGCAAATAAAAACAAAAAAAAATTGAATCAAAATAAAACTAAATAAATAAATCATAACAAACATAATAAGAGAAAGGAATATAAATATAATATAAAAAAAAATAATAAATAAAATGTTTATAAAACAACAAAAAATTAAAATAAAATTGGTGAATAATAAATAAAATTTATATGAAACATTTTGCAAATGAAACCACAATAAAATTGGTAAAAGATAAAAAAATTATACGAATAAATAAAAATAAAATATATATAAAAAATAGTATAAAAATAAAATTAAAATAATATAAAAATATTATCAAAATCACAATTAAAAAAGAAACGAGGTGAAACGGAATAAAAATAAAATAAAATAAAAATAAAAAAAAAAAATAAAATAACATAAAATAAAATAATATAAAAATAAAATAAAATAAAAACAAACAAATATCAAAACAAAACAATATAATAATATAATAAATAATAAAGTAAAGAAAAGGTAAACTAAGCCAAAAAAAAGAGAAATGAAAATAAATAAATAAAAATATCCACTAAAATAAAAAAATTATAATCAAAATAAAATAACAAATAAAAATAAAATAATGACCATATATAAAATAGAAAATGAAAATAGAGAAAACTCAAAATAAAAAAAGATTATAAAAAAAACAGAAGCAAATAAAACAAATTTAAAAAAAAAATAATATTTAAATAAAGTGATAATAAAATTTTAATAAAACAAAAATAAAATAATGTGAAAATAAAAACTAAAAATAATAGAATAATAATAAAAATAAAATAATAAAAATAATATAAAAACAATGTATCGGGGAGGTATGTAGGTCTGAGGTCAATTGTTGCTTAGTCTGATGAAGAAATAAACAACAATCCAGTCAAGGCGTCAAGAGGGGTGTTGAAAATACCTCGAGTTAAGAAAGAGTAAAAGTGCTGAAGTGCACTGGCTCAAATAGCTTCAACATAATAATAAAAATAATATATATATATATATATATAAATAAATATATATAAATAAATATATATAAATAAATATATATAAATAAATATATATAAATAAATATATAAAAATAATAAATAAATAAATTATATATATAAATAAATAATATATATATATAAATAAATAGATATAATATAAATAGAACTGAAAAGGTTTTCACTATTACCTTCGCTATCTATTTGTATTTGATTTCTTCTTATATATATCATAACATAATTTTTAATTAATTAATTAAAA